GATGTCCCCCAGTTTGGCACACTCTTCCCAGTTGGTCCAGTCAATGCTGCATGACTTGAGGTTTGGCTTCAAGGTGTCTTTGAAGTGTTTCTTTTGACCTCCTCTTGTTCTTTTCCCTTGCTGTAGTTCGGAATTGAAGATCAGTTTGGGTAAGCGACTGTCGGACTGTTGGACTGTTGGACAAGCTCATTGAAGTTGTTTTTTTTTTTACGATGGATTAAATACAAATCGCCACTAAGGACACTGATGTTTCTTGAATAGTCATTTCAGCTCCGTTGAGAATGCTTCAGAGGCAACGCTGATGGAAATGTTCCAATCTTTTTGGGTGTCAGCAGTAGGTGGTCCACATTTCAGAACCGTTGAAAAGAGTGAGAACAACTACGGTATTGTAGACCCATCTACCCATCTCAAATAACGAGGGAACACTCATTCTTTGCATGAAGAGGCTTCTACGATAATTTAACACTGCTCAAAAAAATTCACAATTTCATCAAATCTATATTTTTCTCATATGGGTGATAGTGTCCTTAAATAAAAGATCTGTAAACGATATATGTGACCAGGTGCCTACTGCTATGCGTTTGTTTACATACAGAAAACAGTCGAAGTAATTAAAAAATGATAAACAATGGCGATGCCTATAGAAGAGCAAGACCCTCAAGCACCGACTCGCGTACCCCCAGGGGTCCAGGGACCCCAGCTTGAGAACGACTGGGCTAATTGGTAGCTCTAAATTTTCCCTAGGCGAGAGTGAGAGAGTGAATGCTTGTTTGTCTCGTTGGTCTCCAAGTGTCCCTGTGATGGAGACCTGTCCAGAGTGTCCCCCCACCTCTCGCATAGGGACTGTTGGATATGGGCACCACTGACCTCCGTGACCCAAAAAAGAAGAAGCGTGTAAAGATGATGGATGGATGTCTGGAGATAAACAGATAGGTTAGGTGGAAACGGTAAACTTAACGCTCTAGAAGTTTAGAGTGTTTGAACGCTGAGCTCCGTCTTACGTAAATTTAACTTGTGCATCTTACATACAATTACCTGCCAGCTGAATGTATTTGGAAGTTCTTTTAGTAGCGTTGTAATGCGTTTACAAATCATTATCAGATTTCTGCAAAGCTTCCTTTGATCTTTACCCTCCACTCGGTGTCAAACTACCGTTTTCTACGCGACGGACCAGTTTTTCTGACTGAAACGGGATTGTTTCCTGTTTAAAGTTTCAAGACGTAAGCGGCGCGTCACTCTCCGGTTCAGGACGGGAAGCTGAGGTCACAGTGAGTGAAAGGGATGCTGAAAGAAACGAGGCAGAGTAAATATGAGGCCAGAAGTAAGACTCTCGGACCCCCCTGTTTACAAAGCTCGTCTAAAATCAGAGCTGTTTACCTGCTAACAAAAGAGACAACACTGACGTGCTGCCAACGCTTCCCCGTCTTATCAGCTTCCTCACATGACGAATTGCCATTGTGTATCTGTTCCTCTCAAACCCAGCTGGTCGACGCAGATAGCCGCTTGTCCTGAGCCTGGTTCTGCTGAAGGTTTCTTCCTCAATGAGGGAGTTTTTCCTTTCCACTGTCGCCTTCATGTTTGCTCAACATGAGAGTTCTGTGATGGCTGCTCCTCAGATAAATAATATTAAATTATTATTTATGTATATGAATGTTTCTGTTCAGTGCCCTGAGACGACTTCTGTTGCGACTTGGCGCTATATAAATAAACCGAACTGAATAATTCCTGATTCAATGCAAAGATTTGAATCATTCACCCAAGCGAGTCAGTAACCCACCAGCTCTAGTGCTTGAAGCGTTCCTCGGTGGTGCTCAAACCGAGTTCTGACTCACTCCTGGTCCCAGTTGGTAGTTTTTTTACTCTGATTCGATCATTAAAAAAAATAACATGTACAAAAAGTCAGTGTTTTGATGTGGTTTCTTCTTTATACTAGCAGGTGGTTGTGTATTTCAGCCATATAAACATTAAACTGATTTGTACCATCTCAATACAGAACTAATATTACTACTTATACAAATGGTTAATTCCTGCTAAAATAAGAGCCCTATAAATAGCTCCAAGCTCACAGGTAATGCATCCTGTCAGGGGCACTAATTGGCTTCCGTACGGAGGCGAAGAGGGGTTTCAAACTATCAACTGTAGTGTTGATTTCATTGCTTCGGGGCAGCCGGATCCGACAAATTGAGCTCAACATTTCACATCAAATAATCAAAAGTTAGCTGGTTGGCAGCCAGAGGGGGAGGAGGGGGGTAGGAAACGAGGCGAATAAAGAGAGAATAAGGTGGGCTTTCTCTGCTGCCCCCCTCCAACACAGTGGTTTCTCTGTCCCCAAAGCAGAACCAGAGCGTACATTTATTTTTACGATATTTAAACAAACAAATAACAAAAATAAATCAATAAGAAACCTCGAAACTCGACCAAAGTGTGTTTAGGAGCCCCTCTGCCCTGTCAGCGACGCACAGACCACCAGTTTCTCTGGTCAATATTTGAGGAGCTAATTTGGAGAGTTTGTCCTCTGGAGGAAAAAAAAAAAAAGAGGGGTTTTGTGAATTTAGCCATTTTCCTGTCGGCGTGTTCGCATAATGTGGCTTTCTTATCGGTCAGGTTGGATTTGTTCCCGTTCGCCTCGGCGCCGATAATGCAGCTGTGATTTAGAGGCCGCTCCCAGCATCGCCCTGAGCTGCCGGCTCTGTTCGGAGCTCTACTACCTTTTTAAACCGCCGTGCGATAAGGAGCACGGCGTTCGAAAATAAAAGGCAAACGCAGCTGTCAAAACGAAAACAAATCTAGGCTAGAAGAATTCTCCGAAAATTCAGTGTTTCAGCTGAGAGCTGAATGAAATTCATTGAATCGGGTGTTACAGTTCAAATAAAAGCAGAACGAAAGGCTAAAATTAGCTCAACTGTAGCTAAAAAATTAAATTGACCAAGTCGTACACTAACAGCAAAGCCTTAGCTGCGAGCTAAACTCAGGAAAACAGTCACTTAAACCTGAAATTAGCAAAACAATAGCTAAAATTAACAAAAGCCTAGCTATATGTATCCCAGGGCTAGCTAGAAGCTCCAAGTAGCATAAACCTAGCTATTTAAAAAAAGCGTAAGAAGTTTGCCTGTAATTTTAGCTGTTTTTTGTGGAGATGAACTGAAGCAAAACAGCTGACATCATAAATGTGTGTCCTTTCTTTAAGCTACATTGCATCTTAACTCGGATTTAAGTTATTGTATTGTTCGCCACAATTACCAACGGAAACCCAACTATGGTACTTCTCGTTCAAACCAAACTTCCTCTAAATCAAATTTCTTCTACAAGTCAATCCTCAGTAAATCACACCTTTTCATTTTCACTGTTCTCTGTTAGTGAGGTTAATAAACTGTTAAAAGGTCTGGACACGAGAACATCTGCAGACCCTGACAACCTTCGTCCTTATTTCTTATGGCTAGCACAAATCATTAAAGTACCGGTGTCTCACATCTTTAACCTGTCCATAAGCCAAAACTCCATTCCAGACTCTTGGAAAACAGCTTTTGTTTTGCCTTTAGTGAAGGGAGACCCTACTATACTGAACAACTATCGTCCAATCTCTAAACTCTGTGGTTTAGCTAAGGTTCTAGAAAAATGGGTAAATACTTAAATCAAGAAGTATTTGGACTCATAACGTCTTAACTCTCCATCAATCTGGTTTCAGGAAACAACGCAGCTCAATGACTGCTTCGCTGAAGGATTTTAACGACATCGTTGAAGCATTGGATGCTAAGGATTGTTGTGCTGCACTTTTCTTAGACCTGTCTAAAACTTTTGGCACTGTGGATCATAACATCTTGTGTCATAAGCTCTCAGAAATTGGTCTCGCAGAACACACTATTATCTTTCAGATCAGAGGCAATGTGTTTAACATAATGGTACTTCTTCCAGCTATTTAACAGTCAATAATGGTGTACCACAAGGTTCAGTCTTAGGTCCCACCCTCTTTACAATCTACATAAGTAATATGGCTCAGAGCATCCCTGATGCAACCTTATATTTCTATGCGGATGATGCAGTTGTTTATTGTCGAGCTAACAGTTGCTAAGGTTTTCCAGCTCTTACTGTCTGCATTCAACATCATCCAGTCAGATTTGTTCCATCTCAAACTGGTGCTAAATGCAGATAAAACCAAAGGGATGTTGTTTTCAAACAGGAAGTCGGTACCAGCAGTCCTTCCTTCTATCTAATCTACGAATGGTGTTCCTATTGAGTTTCTCGATACTTACAAACACTTGGGAATTTTGGTCGTTGTTTAGTGATATTATTTACATGAACGCTCCTACAAGAACCCTGCAGATGTTGGATGCTGTCTATCATGGTGCGCTAAGATTCATAACTGGCTGTGATTATCGTACCCACCACTGCACCCAGTATTCACTGGTTAACTGGTCATCATCAACTTCACACAGACTCTCCCACTGGTACATTTTCATCTTTAAATCACTTCTTGGTCTGCTGCCTTCATACATCTCCTCCTACATGTCTCTGCGTGAGTGCAGCTACAACGTGCGCTCTCAGGACATCATTACCTGCAGTGTCCCATCAGTGCGCACTGAATTTGGTAAAAGGGCCTTCTCCTACTCCGCTCCTGTTTCCTGGAATATCTTGCAAAATGATTGTAAGTTGTTGACTTTGACCTCTCTAAGGGATTTTAAACATCTGTTAAGTTCAAGGCAAAAACCAACGTAGACACGTTCCTGTTTTTAGTATCTTACATCGTTTTATAATGTATCTTTTTTTGTTCTTTTATATACTTCATTTTATTTGCTTTCATATGAATGTTTATTGTTGTCTGTACCTCATTTATGGTTGTTTAAATTAGGTCTCTCTTGGAAACGAGTCCTCATGGCCCAAATGAGACTAACCTGTATACATAAAGGTTGACTGAATAAGGACGTTGTGTCTTAATACGTCTCCACACTGAACTCTGCTGCAGTAACTTTTACATCCATCTTGTTCTGTTCTGCCGTGTTTAGACGCTTCCTGCTCTGTGGTCTGAACCCTCGGACTCTCTGGGCTTCGACGCCGAGCTTCAGCAGTTGTACGTCGCCGCCGTCGCTCACAGGAAGCGTAAACGGTCAGAGGAGCACCGTGTTGAGGAGGAGTCACCTGCTGCGGAGACATCAGGTGTTTGTTTGAACCGTCTTTTAAATCTACACTGGACTAAGTCGTTCATTGTGGGAATGTTTATGAAGCGTTCACACTATTGTGATCCATTTTTCTTCCGTACGTTTTTCTGCATCTTTCTCGTCCTCCACATTTCAATCTATTTTAACAAATCATATATCAGAAACGTTCAGCGCTTTCAGGACAATCCTTCTATGACTTTTGGTTTTGGTGCAACTTTAGCTTTTAGAAATATTTAGCCTTTTTTTTTTCTCATAGAAAATGATTTGAGCTCATTTTACATCCTTTAAATCTTAAGATCTATTTACAACCTTTTACTGCTCCTTTCACATTTTGTTCTGCTTCGGCTTTTTTCAGCTTCCTTGTGCAAAAAAAAAAAAAAAAAAAAGTCAGCTGCTTTCAGCTAATTTCAGCTGTTTTTTCAGCCGTTTCTTGCTCTGAGAGTCTTTCTGCTAACTACATTTTTGTGCTTCTTTTAACTTATTTTTGCTAATTTCAGCTTGTTTTGCTCCTTTCAGCTTATTTCTGCAAGTTTCAGCTTCTTCTTCTATTTCAGCTACTATTTAGCTGTTTTATGCTAAATTAAACTTTCAGCTAATTCCACATTTTTTGCACTCATTTTAACTTTTTTAAGCCTAATTCAGCAAAAAATATGCTCTCTCCACTTCCTTCTGGTAATTTCAGCTTCTTTCTGCCTTTTTAGCTACTTTTCAGCTTTTGCTTTGCTAATGTCAGCTTTTTTCAGATATTTTCCACTTTTTTGTACTTATTTCGGCTTCTTTCAGCAAACTTGTTTTTTTCTGCATTCTTCTGCTAATTTAACTACTTCATAGATTTTTAAGCTTATTTCAGCTGTTTTCAGATAAATTCAAGTTTTACTTTGTAATTTCTGCTACTTTTTACGTAATTAACATATTTATGCTAATTTAAGCTTATGTTCCTTTCAGTTTTTTTCTACTAGTTTAAGCTTTTTCTGATATTTCAGCTACTATTTAGCTGTTTTTGTGCTAAATTTAGATTTTCAGCTAATTCCACACTTTTTAGCTCATTTCAGCACCTTCCACTTCCTTTTGGTTTAAGCTTCTTTCTGCATCTTTTTAGCATTTTTTAAACTAATTTCAGCTAATTTTAGCTAATTTCCTAATTTTTTGTGCTCATTTCTGCTTATTAAAATCTAATTCAACAAATATGGGCTTTCTGCTTTCTTCTGTTAATTTATGCTTGTTCTTCCATTTCAGCTACATTTCAGCATGTTTTTTTCCTAATTTCAGCTGTTTTTCAGCAAGTTCTTCTGCAATAAGCATTCACACTGCATTTTCACTGGAAATGGAATTTCTCTAGTTTCATTTTATTAATTTATTTCATTTCACTTTATTTAATGGGGTCTAAATTAGTGAAAACATGAGTTTTTATGGTTTTATTTTACTTGTTATTATTGTTTTTAGCTTTATGGGGGCGGGGTTTCACTCAGTATTTCATTTTTCCTCTGTCTAGTTTAAAACTTCGGCTTTAAGTTTCATATTTTTGGTATTTATTTGTCCAGCCGTAGAGCTGGGATCCACAGCAGCTACAGTTCTGCCATCAATATTCTCTCTTCTTTCTAATTTCTTCTGAACTTTTTTTTTTTTTCAAGCTTACACTTCTGCACACTTTGAGCTTTGTCATCCATTAAAATATCAAAATGTGCGGGTCATAAAAGCTGCAGCTTTTAGTTTTTGTGACTTATATAATGTTCCCTGAAATCTTCAGTACTCCGTTTATTTTTAAGCTTTTAGCTACCGTTTGGCTATTCTGAGCTTCTATTCTGCAAGTTTTAGCTTTTCTAATCTTTTAGTTGCTAATTTTAGCTTGTGTTCTGCTAAATTTAGCTCTTTTTTTTTAAATGTAGATTTGTTGTGCATTTATTTATTCTCACTTGATCTGTTCACACTCATAGGATGTGATTCGGCTACTCTAGGGATGCACTGATCCACTGTTTTCACTTCCGATACCGATGCCTGAGGTTTGGTATCGGTATATAACGATTCGATTCCGATCTGATACAGACAGATGCTGAATTAGCTTAAAACATTTGTTTTTTAAACGCAGACATAAATGTACTGAATTACAAATTTTCTTGAAAACTCTGCACCAGTACAGCACACTTAAAACACACCAGTAGCTTCACAAACATGTAAAAACAACAGTTTTAATTTGTTCAGTCCGTGCAATTATGAGTATAACATCCAATGCAAAATAAATAATAATAAAGATACTGAAACTGACAAAATCAACAGGTTGGTCAAACGTGAAAACATAAACTTCAACAAACCTTTCAAATGGTTCAGGAATTCTAAATATAATGTAAAATAAATAATAAAGGAGCTGAAATAAGAGGAAAAAACAATAGCTTCTCTAGCTTGTTTGACAGATATTTTAAATATACAGCAATCAGCTCCTGTCTGTATGGATCGTCACAATGGCGCAATACCAGATCAATGTTTTTTTTTTAATTTCGGTACTGATACCGATACTAATATTAGATCGGTGCATCTCTACCAATACCTGATCATTCATTTTTACCCAATATCAGTATACTGATACTGATACTATTATTGGATTTGTGCATCTCTACCAATACCCAATGAAGATTTTTTATTATTTTTTTTGTTATCTGTACTGATGCCGATACTAATATCAGATTGGTGCAACAATATCTGATAAATAATTGT